GCCTCTCGCTTCAACACACCCCAGAAGCGCGGTTTCGGTTTCTCCTACAGCAACTACGGCTCACCCTCCAGCCCGTCGAGCGTTGCGAGCACCCCTGGAGCCTTGGGCCAGAGCCTGTTGGTCGGGAGCATGAACCGCAGCTTGAGCAAGAGCATCTCTGCTAGCAACCTTCGGCGCAGCTTCAACCCCGAGGATAGCATCCTTACCCCCGGGGCGTTCTCTGCCAGCACGAGCGGTCGGCTTACCGGAGGATCCAGCAGTCACAAGCGCCTTGTCATTAACCGTGACATGCGTAGCGATCTGTTCACAGCTCCCACCAAGGAGACGCTCACCCCAGAGGGCCTTAACGGTATCCGCAAGCTTACGAAGCGTGTCAGCTTCGACACCAGCGCGAATGAGGGCAGCGCCTCCAAGGAGACGGAACAGCGAGCCATCGAGGATGTCAAGCGTCCTGCTGCCGAGGACCACGGCTCCATGAAGCCTCTGCCAGCCCCAATGCGCACGAATGGCCACAGCACGGCTCCTGTCGCGGGCACCCCCGAGATGGAGCAAGTCAAGGGCAACGAGCTCGCCATCGTCCACGAGGAGGATTCGCCGGCATCCACCAGGTCTAGAAGGCCGACCCCTGCTAAGATTGAAGGAGGCACTTACTGGATGTCGCCGCCGCCCGAGCAGATCCGCGCCATGAACCGGGCCCAGCTTAAGAAGGTCGCCAACTTTGTCGTCGGTCGCGAGAACGTGGGCAGCGTTGCGTTCAAGGTTCCTGTCGACCTTACTGGAATCAACCTCGACGAGCTGTTCGACGTGATCGTGGTGCTCGAGCCGCGATCCGCCACCGTCTACCCCAACGCGGCGAAGAAGCCTCCTGTTGGCAAGGGCCTCAACGTCCCGGCTCTCATCTCCCTGGAGCAATCCTACCCGCGCCAGGGTCCCATTCTTTCGGGCCGCAAGCTGGATAGGCACGTTCAGAAGCTCATGAGCCAAAAGGACACCACCTTTGAGAACTACGACCCGGAGACGGGTGTCTGGAACTTTTCGGTGGAGCATTTCACCACCTATGGCTTGTCAGATGACGATGATGACGAGATGGACGAGACTACCACCCTCGAGGTATCCACCGGCATCCCTGCCGTCCAGGCCGAGTCTTCGCCGGCGGATGAGGACGACACGTTTGACTTCAAGCGCAGCCGTCGTGCCGTCCCCGGCGCCTTCGACATGGAGTCCTACTCGGACGACGAGGAACTTCCCGGCGCCGTCCAGCCGCACCGCCTTCCCACCCGAGGGCTCGAGCAGACCCTTGCGCCAGTCCGGTCGTATGAGTCTGATGACGAGAGCATGGAGGGCGCACAAGATTACCAGTATGAGATCTCCCAACACCCTTCTGGCTCAGAGGATGAGCATGACGACACCATGGGGGTCTCGCGGTTTGCTGAGCATGACGTCCAGGTCCCTGCCGGCATTTTGAGAGCCAGAATGCGAGCCGTCAAGAAGTCGACGGCGCCGACCAAGATCGAGGTTGCCGGAGGAGACGACTGGACGCAGATTCTGCAGGCCAGCGTCAGGGCCCCGCGGACGGTGGATCGGGCGAGACTGCGCGCCCTCAACGAGTCTGGCGCGGCGTGGGACATGAAGGATCGGGGGAGCCCGGCACCTCAGAAGACGGCGCCTGCTGCCGATTCTGCCGGCTTCGCGACGAGCATCGATCTGATGAAGTCGCTGTTTGAGCAGGCAAAGGGCCCGACACAGCCTGTGCAGGCATTGCCGGCAAAGGGTTTTGTACAGGTCGGTGTCCCGCTTGCTTCCTAGTTTTCATGCCATTTTGGTGTTAGCTTTTGTGTACCTACATTTGTGTCCGAATACAGACTAAGATTTTTCTTTTGCTTTAGTGGCCCTACCAGCAACGCGCCAAAAATGAGAATGACGAGGTGACCCCCATGCCGCGGCCTAGCTGGGGTCCCAACCAGCTGCTTGTCACGGCCCACGACAACGAGACGAACCTCCAGCCGGTCGACGGCGGCAACCTTGACAGCGGCAGCTTCCCCTTGGCTCCTCGAACTCTTGCTCAGCTCCAGCAGTTCGTCGACATCGCATCCGACAAGAAGGGCATCCTTGACGAACCTCGTCCCGACCTTAAGCAGCTCGCTCAGGGCGATTCCCTCTGGGAGGTAGCCTCCCTCCTCTTTGATGACAATGGAGCCGGCTTTGCCGCCTACTGGAAGGGGCTCGTTGGTGAGGCCACTAAGCGTGCCCTCGACTCTGCCTCGACCCACGAAGAGCAGGCCATTGTCTGCCTTGCCGGCAACCAGGTTCCGGATGCCTGTGGGCACTTGATCGCCGCCCGCGACTTCCGGCTTGCCAACCTCGTCGCTTGCATCGGCACGCAGAGCAAGGATATCCGCAACCAGCTCAAGGACTGGCGTGAGTCGAACGTCCTGGCCGAGTTTTCCGCGCCCGTCCGCGCCCTCTACGAGCTCCTCGCCGGCAACGCTGGCGTTTGCGCCGGTGTCAAGAATGTCCCCATTGAGCACCGCGTCGCCTCGTTCACCATCTCGCAGCAATTCCGCCTCGACTGGATGCAGGCCTTTGGCCTCCGCCTCTTTTACACCACCGGCAAGCCCTCAGGCAGCGGCGCCGACGTCGCCGAGGCCGTGCGCGCCTTCCAGGCCGACATTGAGCAAGACAGGGAGCCCGAGCCCGACAGCCCGCTCTGGACGCTCCTCAAGGTCTTCGCCTCGCGCCAGTTCGACTTTGCCGACGACCGCCTCGACTGGCTGCTGACGCGCGCCATCCACGCCACGGGCAAGGTGTCGTTCGGCCCCGACGCCACGGAGAAGCTCGACCGCGCCACGCTCGCCTTCGCCGCCACCCTCACGGCCCAGTCCCACTGGGTCCCGGCGACGTTCGTGCTCCTGCAGCTCTCGGAGCCCTCGTCCCGCGACGCCGCCGTACGCGACCACCTCGGCCGCCACGCCCACCTCCTCGGCTCCCGGCAGAAGGAGGCCAGCGCCTTCTCGCAGCTCCGCCGCTTCGGCGTCGCCGAGCCCTGGATCTGGGAGGCCAAGGCGCTCGACTTTCGCGCCCGCGGCGACGCCCGCCAGGAGTTCCTCGCGCTGCTCTGGGCCGGCAACTATGCCGAGGCCAACCGCGCGTTCCTCGACCGCGTCGGCCCGGGGCTCGTCATCTCGCGCGACTACGCGCGCCTGCTGCGCTTCGCGCAGCTGCTGTACAAGGTGCGCCGCGCGCTGCCGGACTGGGAGCGGGGCGCCGTGGTCTACCTGCTGTATCCCATGTCGCGGCTGCCGAGCACGGCGAGCGCGAAGGGGGCCAAGGACGGGTTCGACGATATCTTGTATGACGGGCTGGTGTCGCTGAGGGGCGCGGCGCACGGGGATGTCAGGCAGGAGGCGGCGGTGGCGGATATGGCTGAGGAGTTGATTCGGTTCAAGGGCGGGGATGCGAGGTTGTATGGGCTGTTGCCGGACGATGTGAGGGGGAGGTATATGAGGAATGAGGCGCTGGCTGGGTAATGTGCGGTGGTAGGAGGGAGGGGGGTGAGATGGAGCGGCGGGGGGCGAATGTGCGTGTGTAAAATTGCATGGCTTGGGAAAGGGATCGGGTGCTGCTTGCTTGGTAACAGCGAAGGAACTTGGACGCGTTGAGTTTAGTTGTTTGGTGAGAGAGGGGGCACGAGTCTGAGGAGCATATGGACGACTGCTTGCTGCTGCTGTTCGTTTTGTCGCTTTAGGTAGATTAGGTAGTCAAAATTCGGAGCATGGCTATGCTTTTTGAAACCTTGGATGGTTGATGTAAAGTGACTTTGTGATGAACATGGTTGAGGGCTTCCTCCCATTGCCGCGCTCCTGTCTCTGGCAAGCCTCCGTCCCATTCTCGGCCCGAGACACGACAACATACATGTCAGCATAGTTCAACGTCCATACCCTTCCCATGGGGTGAAGCAAAAAAAGGCAAAAAGATATGTCGACGACGGGAATTGAGCCCGACGTGGGGGTCGAACCCACAACCTTGAGATGATGGAGTACTCCATAAGAGTCTCACGCTCTACCGATTGAGCTAGCCGGGCTGAGCCGACTGATTGGTGATGTGCATGCTCGGAAACTGGGTCTATGGCCGGCGGGGTTCCTCCGCGCCGACGAATGTCAGTGAAAGGGGCACGCTTTGTCATACTGGGAATGTCTCCAACATGTACTCCGTCGAGATGGAACAGACGAATATTTTTTACAAGCGTATACTTCCGTCCTACCGCTGAGTCGAACCTCCGCCGGACGAGTCGAATTTTCAACGTCCATCCCACACGTCAAGCGAGCAAAAATGAAACAATCCCATCCACATACACAAAAGAAGAAGGCAAATACCAGCAAAAAGAACAGCTTCACATCGCCGCCGGGAGTCGAGCCCGACGTGGGGGTCGAACCCACAACCTTGAGATTAAGAGTCTCACGCTCTACCGATTGAGCTAGCCGGGCGAGTGAGTGAGTATTTGATGGAGGGCAGGGTGGGTTTCGGGGTCTATGTTCTATGCATCTTCCCGTGGGTGCGTCGTGGAGGGGCATGTGCATGTGGTTGAGTTTTTTTCCCCTGGGTTTTAGGTCGGGATGACCCGGGTTTGACTTGGATGCGAGTCAGGCTGGTTGGGATGGGATGGGAGGGTGGGATGGAGGTATGACGGGTAGCGGTGGGATGGCGAGGATGGCGGTGGTTGATGGGATAAAAGGAGGAAAATGGAAAATGGCGAACTGGAGGGTGCGAAAGACAAGAACGGGAGGGGGGATTGGGAATGCCCTCTTGTTTCCCTGTGGAAGGAAGAAGAAGAAAAGCGCAACAACACTTGTTTGCCTTTCCTCCAGAGTCCATCATCACCATTCTCTTCATAACAAGGGAGACCCTCTCCTTCCATTCAGTCCCCGCTAGCAAAAAAAATACTGGCATGAAGAAAATGCCAAAAAGAAGACCGTCGCCCATCACATCGCCATCGGGAATTGAGCCCGACGTGGGGGTCGAACCCACAACCTTGAGATGTCCATTTCAGAGCCAGGAGAACCGTGAATAAGAGTCTCACGCTCTACCGATTGAGCTAGCCGGGCGACTGCATGGTGCGGTGTCCGTTTGATGGGATGCATGGCCGATGTTGCGGCTTTTGTGTGCTGCTGTGGGTGTTGTGTGGGTTCGAATTGTTTTTCGTTCAGGGTTGAGATGGAATGAACTCGGGTCTCCGTTGTCGTGAGGGTTTTGTCTGGGGATCCTGGAGCTTGGTCAGTGGAAGGGATGGTGTCTCTTTGTCCAAATCCTGCCAGGTTGCTGTGGGAACTGGGAAGGACCACAAACACTCCCTGAGCAACTCAGGGGCATTATCTCAAGTTCGAGATTAAGTATGTAGATTCGAGGCCATAATTGGTACAAGACAAGATATAGAGAGGCCGTTTCTCATCACCCACAAGACAATGAACACAGCATGTCCTTCCATCCCAGCATCACCACCCCTTAAACAACAACAATCTCCCCCCCATCCTCCCTCACCCTCACCTTGACCTTCACCGCGGTCTTCGGCTCCAAGATATGCACTGGCAACACGCCATCCTCCTTGGCCGGCACCACAATCTTCCCCCCGACCTTGCCCTTCCCATCCACCGCCTCCAGATCAAACGTCAGAATAATCATGGCCGCAAACGCCACAATCTCATACGTCGCAAAGTGCCGTCCCGGACACAGCGTCTTCCCGCCCCCAAACGCCCTAAACGCCGCCGGATGGACCTTCTTCTGCTTCTCCTCCTCCCCCTTGCCACTCCCACTCCCACTCCCACTCCCCCCCTCGCCCCCCTCGGCCCCCTCCTCCAACTTCAAGAACCGCAACGGATCAAACTCCGCCGCACTATCCCCCCAAATCGCCTCGTCCTCATGAATCACGCCCCCCGCAACCTGCACCACACTCCCCTTCCCCACCCACCACCTCCCCGCCAGCATCGTATCCTCCCCAACCAACCTCGTCGAGTAATTATCCGACCCCGTCCTCAACGCCTCCCTCACCACCGCCCCGAGCGTGGGACTCCCCCTCCCCGCCTTAACCGCCTCGAGATCCAACAACCTCGTCGGCTTCCCCCCTCCAAAATCCAACTCCGTCACCGCCCCGGCCATCAGCTCCGCCCTGACCCTCCTCAGCAGCCCCGGGCGCGCAAACACATGCACCACCGTCCAAAACGCCGTCGTCGCCGTATTCACGATGCCCGCAAACAGAAACGACACCTCGGACCTCGCCGCCTCCCCCATCGGCAGCCCATACCCCCTCAGAATCTCCACCCGCCTCCTCACAATCTCCGACGCCCCCTCCTCCAAATGCCTCCCCCCCTCCAAGTACTCCGTAAACGCGGCCACCAGCCTCTCCCGCCCGGCATACGCCCTCCTTGCCGTCACCCTCGGCACCACCCCCGCCAACAACCCCCCAATCCCGTGATCAAAGTCCCAAAACGCCTCCTCCAGCCCCGCCTCCACCGCCAGCGGGTTCCGCGGCCCGTACAGGTACTCCGCCGTCGACACCGCCACAAAGTGCCGCAGCCAGACCAACAGATCCGGGACCACCTCGGGGTCCCGGTCGTGCGCCGCCGCGTACGCGTTGACCTGCCCGGCGAGGTCGCGCACCGCGAGCTTGGTCAGCGCGGCGAGCGCGTCGCCCGGCCCGAGGTGCGCGTAGACCATGTCGTGCAGGTCGGCCATGAGGCCGCGGGGGGCGGCGGGGCCGTCGGGGTCGAGGTTGTGGGCGATGGTGGCGGTGGAGGCGGGGCTGAAGCCGAGGATGCGGCGCGTGAGGTCGGGGACCAGCGGGGAGAAGGAGAGGGTCTTGGAGGCGCGCTGGACGGCGGCGGCGAGGGGGGGCGAGGTGACGATGTAGATGCGGGAGAAGGGGACGGGGAGGGTGAAAATAGGAGTATGACGATTGCGAAGGCTATGTTTGTAATTGAGGTTAGAGCAGAGGGTGGTGGTGGAGAGGGGGAGGGGGCGTACCCTATGTTTTTGATGTATTTTCCGCCAAAGAAGGCCATGCCGAGGAGGTGGCCGACGTAGGGGATCGGGGAGGCGATGATGGGGGGTTCATCGCGGTGCTTCTTGACTCGCTGGAGGCTGTAGAGGAAGAGCCAGAGGGTCGAGACGATGCCGGCGATGATGGTGGCCGTGCCGGTGTAGGCGGATCCGGACCCCCATTCCCGGTCGAGGAGGTGGGCGATGGCGAGGCCCATCTTGGACGGTCGATGTCGCGTGTCGCGTGTCGCGGTTACACAGCTGCTGCTTGCTGTGACTGTGGCAGTGGTGTGTTGCGGTGAGTGACAGTTGATGCCGAGTCGGGGGTGAAGAAGCTGAGGTTCGGAAGGAGGAGAGGACGAGACGAGATGCCCGAGGCAGGTTTGACCCGTCTTCACATGCGCGTCCGAGGATAAATGCCGGCGAGATCAGATGCCATTCTGATAATTCAATATCCTCCAGTCCCGTCCATTTCGACCAGCAGTCGCATCTCACTCTCAGCCGTGAAATGTGAAAAGGAGGTGGTCTCAATTTAAAGGGGGGTGGTCGCGCTGGCGAATCAAGCCCCGTCCCGACCACCGCATCGCCATCGCTCTAAGGGGGCCAAGACCCTATCACGTCCGTACTCCCGTACGCCGTCCCAACGGCTGACAGGGGTCTGACTTCCCCGAGCCTCCGTGGTCCGTGGAAAGCGGAAGCAGCCCTTCATCAAGAACCAAAGTTGACCTCTGTTGAATTCGCTGAAAACGTCTTTGATTTGACCATTGTCTCTGTCTAGCAAGCCACACAACCCAACACTCATCTATCCTCCTCCTCCTCCTCTCCCTCACCCGAACTGGTCTGTCCTCCTCTACTAGGCACCTCGCCAACCGCCCCCATCTGGCGACCATAATAATAATGCTGCCAGCTGCGTTCCTCGTCCGACTGCGACGGAGGTGGCGCTCCCGCAACTGGCGTCGGTACCCCTTGCCCATAGTACGGTGGTGGCAGCGTTTGGGTGATCACACTAAGCGCGGTGGTGATGGCGGCGGTCCTTACCCGGCGCTGGCGTTCTCGTCGCCATTCCCGGCTCTGTTCCCGTAGCTGTTCCTTGCGCCAAATTTCATCCTCCGCCGGCGGCGGTCCTACCTGCTCCCATCCCTAGGCAGGCGGCGGAGGCAACCCTGGCGGCGGCGGTTGCAAATAGGCCAGCGGCATAATCTCTTCCTCATCAATCGGCAGTGGCAGTCCCCCAATACCCGGGCCACCCCAGCCCACCCCGAACCTCGGGTGACTCTAGCGCGACTGCGACGACAACACCGGCGGCGGCGGGCGCAAACAGGCCAGCGGCAGAATCTCTCCCTCATCAAGCGGCGGCGGCAGCCCCCCAATGCCCGGGCCACCCCAGCCCACCCCGAACCTCGGGCGACTCTAGCGTGACTGCGACGGCGACCCCCTCCCCGGCGTCGTCGTGAACCCCGGGACGCTTCCGAACCCAGCCGACCCCAGCAGCGTCCCGCCAGCAGCCCCCGCCTTACGGAGTGGTGTTGTCGGCGGCCCCTCCTGCGGGGCCGGGGCCACGGGCGGCGTGTCCGTCCTGTGCAGCGTAACCTCCTCCGGCGCCTGCTGTCTCTTGAAGTTGGTGGCCCTGCCCTGCTTGTACACCTCCTCCAGCATCGACTCGAGGATGCCCGCGTCCTGAAACTCCTGAAACTTGCGGTACAGCTTGAGCGCCGTCCTGGCGTCCTCGATCGAGTCGTGCGTGCGGAGCTGCACCTCCTCCTTGAGCAGTACCCACGCCAGAAACGCCAGCGACAGTTTGCGGAACCTCTCCTTGCGGTAGAAGAGCTCGATCGTGTCAATGACCTGCGCCCGCGGCACCTGCATGTTGATGACGCGAAAGTCTTGCTTCAGCCCGTGGCCCAAGAACTTGCACCCCAGGTTCAAGAGCACCCAGAGCTTCTTGTACACCGTCTTGAGCGACACCAGGTTGTGCTTGGTCAGCTGCGGGTTCAGGTCCGGCGCTTCGATACCCGAGAACTTGGTCAGGTAGTCGACGATGGGCTCCCTAATCTGGACGTAGTCGTCAATGAACGCCTGCCCCTCGTCCTCGCCTGATCCCCGGACCACCGATACTCTGGCGAGCGCGTGAGACACCGGTCTTATCGTCTCCCTCTCCCCGTCCGCGTTCATCTGAATCTCGGGCTGCTTGAGCGCCACAAACTCCGTGTCCAGTGCGACAATCGTCTGGTCGTTGGGCATCTCTCGCTCGATCTCGAGCACCTTGCACGTTCTGTTCTCAAGAACCGAGCTAGTCTCTTCGTCAGTCTCCACATGATCCCAGATAGGGGATGATACACATACGTTAGATCCTGGTACAAGATCGATGTGTCCAGGTTGGTCTTCCAGTCCGTCGTCGACTTGTTGTTGGCTGTCTTGAGCTGGTACAACAACACAGAAGGCATCTTCCAGGCGGCATTGAATGTGAACGCCTCGGCCGTCGAGATAGGCCGCACCGCAAAGTCGTTGAACAGATGCCAGCGAGCATCTGCCGGCGCTGTCGGTTCAGAGTGCGCAACTGCTCTCGTCAGAACCACCCCACACACAAAAAGGGAAAGAAGAAAAAGGCTTACCATTGACGATGCTGACGAGATGCGGCTTCAGCGGGGCATTGGTATCGACATTAACCACCATGCCGACTAGAGAGTACACAGTGATATTGTGCATGCCACGTTGAAGATGTAGCTTGAGATCCTGTCCTTCAAAGCAGAAGAACTGCCCTTGATCAACAATGACGCCGATTTCCTCGGGGAGCCACCCCGGAGTTACCCAGAGCTTGCGATGCTCATGCGTCGAGATAGCCGTATTGACGGCCAGCACAGCGGGCACACTGTGTATTATTTTTCGCATCTGTAAATGCTGGTAGCGTTGGCAGCGGCTACACCACCCTTTGTTCGAGGTTTCTCGCTCCACGCCCATCCTCAGTAGCTGCGAAAACGTTGTCCGGGGAGTCTTAGTCACTCGGGGAGTCGGCTTCGGGGCTGGGTACATCAAGTCGTGGAGGAATGTGGTTCCCGGCCTCTGTTGCTCATTC